TCTCCGGAGAGGTGGTTGGAAGTGTGTCACTGAGTTATCTGTGGCAAGCGTCGGACTGAGGCCGATATCAACAGACTTTGCTACGCATATTGTACCTTAAACTTGAATTGATTGGTAGAAAAGTAATGGGTAAATATTGATCATGTAAAAGTACCAACTATTACCAATTTTCAAATTGAGTATACTGAATATCTTTCTGGTGTTGCTCTATTGATCAGATCATTTGAAGTTGGGTTATACTGATTTTGTGATATGTGACGATATATCCTATCTGTATACATTTAGGATATCCCAGTTTTGCAAGTTTGTGCTGCATTTAAATGCGTTACACTAAAGTAAATGACATTTTCTGTATTTCTCAGACTTGTAGCTTTTCTATTTGTTGCCTTTACTTGCAAAGTCAATAAATCCTCGTTACTGACGACCATTTATCAAAATTCTCATTGTGTAAATATTTTTAAAAGCATCAATAGTCAAGGCTACAATATCGTCCCCTATCGATTGAGCTATTTGGACACACATATTATATCCTCTCCATATTGTCCAGCCCTAATAAAACATGATCTTGAGGCTGACTAAAGGTAATTGCATTCAAAGCAATTAATGTGAACAATAATTGCCTGGTTAATTGGTAATGAAAACAACCTTTTAGTTACAATACGCGCTTAATCCATTAGACTGCAGCAACAGATGGCGTCTGTGTTTGTTAGAAATGTTTAATTTGCTTCTTTTATGGTGTCTATGATGCGTACCTGCACCTGGAGTACAATGATAAAAGCAAACAAGCCTCCTCTTTAGGCGTGTTCTTGCTTTTGCAACAAAGCTACCGGGATTATAATCAGCCATGGCTCGGATTCAACCCTGCATGGGGCCAACTTATCCCAATGTAGTGGAGCGAGTAATGCAGCGAATTTTAAAGGATCATGGGAACGTACACAAAGGAAATGAGAGCACTTAGGTCTGTTCGATGTATGCAGCTCTACTGCCAGAGGATGCTGATCTCCCACGAGTGATGAAACTCCTAAAGGCACACATGACTGCCGGTGTGATGGGAGGGGGAAACGGGAAGGAAAGCCATACAATAAGTCTGGGAGATGTAAAGAAGGTGGGGGGGGGGGGGGGGGGGCAGGCAGGCATTGAGAAATGTGAGGAATGCTGCTGCTCCCTGATAAAGGGTGAGTGCGGGAGGAATGCGACCCTGAAAAGACTGCATCAACAGAGAGGCGGAGGGGGGTGTTCGGAGGGTGCCAGCTGAGAGGTAAAGCAGGACTAATTTGCCCCACGTTCTGTTCAGGATGGGGTCCATATTAGAGATGAGTTTGGAGGCGGGTGTAGCGGTGATGGACGTCAGCTGTAGCGCAGTCTGAGGGAGGCAGGGGTCATGAGAAGAATGGCTCTCGCTCTGCTTTCATTCTCACAGTTCGGGGTTAATGTGCCGGAACAGACGGGGCCGACACAACCCTGATAAACGCAGCAACCTCTTCCCTTTGCTCTCAAGGGTCGGACGCTTTTTTTCAGTTGAGATCAGGAATGCTGTGTTCGTTGGACTGCATTTTGTCAGGAGCATAGTTGATAGTGAGGATCAAAGTTGCTATAGTTGGAGATGGATGAATATATGAGTCAGTTCAATTTGGCCAGTATTTGAATGTTCGGGCAGAAAAAAATGGAAACTAAATTAAACTTTTTGGACTATTGTGATATGTTTTGCAATATGAGTGAGAATCATAATAATTGAAGTGCTCGCATTATCCTTGAAAAATATAGTAAACTAATATCAAGAATCTTTTGGAGATTAAGTTTGATTTATGAAATGACCTGTAGATTGACCTTCTCGAAGTTAATCCAATGTTTCCCCTATTCGTTCAAATACACATCTGCTCTTTAAACCAATTTCCCTGCATTGAAACTAACTTCTGCAAAGTTGTGTAAAGGCAGTGTTTACGGATGTTGAGCAAGAGATTTGGCACGGAAACCTCGCCCCACTGCCAACGATGCAAAAAACTCTCGGAGATATGAAACACTGCCAGCTGATATTTATCATACATGATGATAAATGTTACGCTGGGTTGAACCTGACCTCTGCTGTTATGCAAAAAAGCCTCTCAGTGGTCACTAGGTTTTTTTTTATTGGAGGGGAGACAATGCCAAAAAAGGCCAACCACCCTAGTGCTGCTGGGAAAACGGTGTCATTCTCCCGCCGTGTAGGAATTATAATTGGGATGGTAAAGTCTCCTCGCTGTCAGTGAAAGCAAACCATGATCAGTTAACTGCCCGAGTGTCTCTTCCCTCGCTGTAGTTGGGTGTGTCGGCTCAGATCTCTTTCTTCCTCTTGCTCCAAACTGGTCGCACTGGTCTAGCCACTTTCTATATGGGTTAACCCGCAGCACTCCCTGTCAACAACATGCTTTGTGTGGGAGCTTTCAGAAGTGTATTATAGGAGCAGCAGCTTGTGCAGAGCTTGTTGTCTATATATGCCTTTAGTGTAGTTATGTTTGATTATGCATTGGACATCAACCATTAGTTTAAGTTTACTGTAATGCTTATGAGAAACTTAATGTAGTTTGACAAGTTGCCTCCCAAATCATCACGTCTTGCAACGCAACAAGGAAGCAAATATTTGTGAAATGAACTGTTTCAATATGCAAATTGCAGGAGGGAATTTGTCACTTCTTTGGCGTTGGAGAGTTTTTCCGGCATTCGATTAGTACAGTATTTTACAGACATAAGAAAAAATATTTGTTCGGTACAAATCACACTTCATTGCCTCCATTAACCATTGACTTCATGAACGGTTATCGTAGCCTGTTGGAAGGTTAGCTGCCTAGTGAATACACAAACCTCCACTGCTACCTATTGATTGTGGCTAGTATCCATATAAGGGATAGGAATGTATTCTAATGTTTTTTTCTATTGACACAACCGAAATCTGTCTAAAAAAAACAAACGAGGGAAACGAAAGATAGGCTACCACGAGAGAGAGAAGGTGACCAAGGCTACCACGAGAGAGAGAAGGTGACCAAGGCTACGACGAGAGAGAGAACGTGACCAAGGAAAACCACTCTATTAATAATTGAATAAATGCGGTCATGTTCTACAGATGATCATCACTTCTTTAGGTTACAGTAAATGACCAAGGGCATGAGTGGTGTTGTATACCCCACTTGTTCTCTTAACTTGCCTTTTACTGCTTTGATCCTTTATCTTTATGGTTTCTCAGAGGAAGAAATAAACGCAAACGGTAATGAACAAAGGGGACTTTTGTTTCCTGATGAACCTACTGGGTTTAGTCCCTGGAACTGTTTAGTTGATAAGGGCCAGGCAGAGGTTTTCGTTATCTCTCCAAAATCACCCACAGCCAACTCTCCTCCCCTAACCGCTTCTGAGCAGATACCCAACCAACCATGGTAATGACAACACAGACATGCTGCTTTCCCACCAGCAGACAGACAGTTATTTGATCACTCTGAAAAACTGCGAGATGATCTTAAATCTCTGCTCCTCCCCGGGTCCAGCCACTGGAATTTGTATTTATTGCTCACAGCAGTTTGCAAAAGAAGTATCGCAGAGCCTCGCTCGACACGGTTGTGTTTTATGTCGACCCGACATCACTCCAGCAGACTCTTCCTGCCGTACATCCCATCAGAGGAGACTTGAGCATTCCTCAGAGATTGCATGTGAAGATGAAAGGGTAGCAAAGGTCTGGCCCTGAACACGAAACACATCCCTCTGCCTGCTTTGCTGCCAGATTTTATTGAAGACGTGTCGCAATGCCAAGGCTTTCCACAGGGTGCTGGAGCAGCAAGCCAGTTGGAAAAAAGAAACCACACATTTTGGATATTAAAACCCACATTTGGTGGCCCCTGGCATGTTCCAAGCCACTATACGCATTATAGGACATTTTAAACGTCTCAAATATAATGTGAAGAGGAGGCACTGTTACTTTGACATCATTGCCTGTATAAGTGTGTGTTTGCAATGCGTCTTAGATGGTTCTGCTGTATAAATCAAGATCATTTCTTCATTCACTAAGCCCATAAACGCCTGTGTGGAGTATATTGAGAATGCATTGCTTTCAGTTGAGTTTCCGAACTGCTGGCACCAGAGTTTCCCCAAGTATCTCCTGTCTGTGCGATCAATGCAGTTCTTAATGTGTTTCTCTCATCAATTTATATTATAGTTATCTATAAAGTACACTCTCTTTTCGATGGCTGTACACAACCATCTGACCCATACTCAAAATAGGAATGTGGGTGTGGCCCGATACATATGGCACGTTACTCGATGGTCATATTCGCATTGTTTGAAGTGAGGCTAGTGGTTGGAAAATATACAGACATTACGAATCAGCTAACTTGTAATCAAACCTTTGATTTAAATAATGTTGTTTGAGAGATTCAGAAAAAATAAGTAATTGCAATTATTTTTGCCTGATTGATGATTTCATAATGAGGAGAATAACTTTTTGACATTTTTATTGAAAAATATATTAAAATTAATCATTTTTGTTTCTGTAAAGAGGATCTGTACAAACCAAGGAGTTCATATCCTGGTTTCTCATATTTTTCCCTTACCAAAAATGTCATTGTGATTTGATATTCCACTAGTCCATATTGCCATTTCGATTAGTTGTGGACCCCTAATTGATATCTACATTTCTAACCACTGTTCACAACATGAACTTGCCTTAACAAGAAACACTCTCTCTCTCCAGTTATTATGCTCCAAACATCTGGAACAAACTCCCAGAAACCTGACGGGCCGCTGTATCTCTGACTACTTTTAAAGCCAGGCTGAAGACTTTTCTTTTTGCTGCTGCTTTTAATTGAACTATTCACATCTCACACTGTAACTTTTGTCCATGTATTTATTTTTGTTATTTTATTATCTTTGCTTTTTAAATGCCATTTTCTGAATGTCTTTCTTTTTTGTAAAGCACTTTGAATTGCCTTGTGTTGAAAGGTGCGGTATAAATAAACTTGTCTTCCTCTCTCTGTAAACAGCTACCATGTCGGCCGCAGACAAGTTCCTGTACGTGGACCGCAACCCGGTCAACAACCCTCTGGCTCAGGCCGACTGGGCCACCAAGAAGCTGGTATGGGTTCCCTCGGAGCGCCTGGGCTTCGAGTGCGGCTCCGTAAAGGAGGAGCGCGGCGACGAGTGCGTGGTGGAGCTGGCCGACTCTGCGAAGAAGGTCCGCGTCAACAAGGACGACATCCAGAAGATGAACCCGCCCAAGTTCAGCAAGGTGGAGGACATGGCCGAGCTCACCTGCCTGAACGAGGCGTCGGTGCTGCACAACCTGAAGGAGAGATACTACTCGGGGCTCATATACGTGAGTACCCAACCTTCAAGAGTGCACAATCGTAATGGAGTTGTACGATGCGATAATACTTTAATGGTCAGATCAAGTCTGAAATGCTCCTTGCATCACAGCAGCTCCATGTGTGACATCAACAGATATCAAGACACAACAAACATTCAACATAACGGCACGATCAGTGAGGGACAACATGCTCAAGGAGCCTTCAGCATGCATTTGATCTGGGTTCTGCTCTGTAGGCCGACCCTGAAGGGCTCCCACGACAAAAAGCCAATGAGATTTTACCATTTGATTTTGCAGAAAATAACATCTGTGGCAACACGTGTTTATGATGCCCCACCGCTAAGCTAACGGTGGCTTATGTTGCGCACGATTACGTTTAGTTGTCTCAGTTAGAAACTTGTTAGCGTCCGCTGTTTTAGATTCACCAGTGGGGTATTTACTGACATATTTATTGTCATAGAACAAGAGAATTCTACAGACCTTATTTCATGCATCTAACCAAAAACACATTCCAGAAACCATTGACTTTGAGACGAGGAAACCAGATGTTAGATTTAGCTGTAATTGGGATGAATATATGGGACAGTTAAATTTGGCCACTATTAGAATGTTAGGGCATGTCCTATTCTACAAGTGGTGTGTTTTCCTAGTTTTCAGGCTGCATCTCAGTAAAGGGATGTCTTTTCCCAATTCTTATCTTTGACCACCAAGTCAATATATCCGGATTACTGATGATAATTTATCAAAGATCTCAATGTGGGACTATTTTGTGAAAGCATCAATAGTCAGCCCAACACAATGGGGAAGATATCAAAGCATTTCCAAAGAAATATTGTGATATTTGATATTCCCCGAATAGCCCAGCCCTAGTTTGAAGAATTTTCTTTTTAATTGTTACGAAATCCCCTCTGGCTTAAAGAAAACAATCTGTCATGGCCCGTCTCCAAACCATTTCATCTCCTAATTATCTCATTAGGCTCCATTGTTCAAGACAAACCATTATACGCAAATTGTCACTGCAAAGAAACTCTGACATCTGTTAAATATGCGAGCGTTTCTCCCCCTGCACCCCGTCTTGTTTGCTCGCCCTGTGTTTGGAGTTATCTTGTAAACAGGAAGCTGCCGGGAATAATGCACCATGAGAGATGTGAGAAAAATAGTTAGAGAAGAAGAAGGATGGGCGTCCATTTATTTTGCAGCGATGGACATGGAATGTAAATCGCGTAACTGCGATTACTTCCCACATAATTAATGTTTTTTATCCTCATGTGGTGGGGCTGGGAGTGATTTGGTCTCTTTGATAGTGTGTAGTGTGACCCGGTCATATCAACACAGGCCTGTTGTCCCCCCCCCCAGAGACCCAGGCTACGCTCGGTTAGACGGCCTCTGGGCTCTGGAGTCTTTTAGACTGAGCTTTTTCTCTCAAGGGAGAGCGGGTGTACAACAGAGGGAGAGACGCCTGGTACAGAAATGTTGGGAGGGCAGCACAGGAATGCAGCTGATGATGGTAGGAGGGGAACAGATACACAAAAGGAAACATGTAGTCGAGTTTATGGAAAGGAATAAAGGTGGGTTTTAATGTTCAAAGCAGAAAAGATCATTTCTACCTGAGATACTTGGATGTGGAGTAGCTGCAGCTCGCTCGGTCAATCTTCAGTTCAAAGTTGCGGCAGGGTGGGGTTGAGATTACATAATGATATAGGAGGGTAACAAGTCATGAGAAACTCTTGGTGGGGGAAGGGAAGCTTGTTATTGAATCAGTGCTGAGTCCATGAGAGCTTCCTCATTTTATAGAGACGTCCATGCACTGCGTCTGAGAGCATGATTCTAGAGTCAATGAGGACAAATCTTCATTATATATTTCACACGTCCTGTCTTTAGGAAGGATTCGACCCTCCTCTTCCACTAGTTCCTTCACTTTCGATGTTCAAAAGAGTGGTGCAGGAATGAGTTCTAAAACCCGTAAATGAGCAAGCAATTTACCAAGCAATTTAGCAATTCATACTTCCCATCTCAAAGTCAACGGTTTATTTGAATGTGTTTTTGGTTGTTAGCCTGAAATAAGGTCTAGTTGCTAACAAGTGTCTAAATCAGATGAATATGACCGTGCTGTAGTTCCTTTATAGCCCAACATTAGCCACCTTTAGCTTAGCGGTAGCTACGTGAAGTCATGTGACCGGGCTGTAGTTCATTTATAGCCCAACATTAGCCGCCTTTAGCTTAGCGGTGGTGACGTGAAGTCATGTGACCGGGCTGTAGTTCCCTTATAGCCCAACATTAGCCACCTTTAGCTTAGCGGTAGCTACGTGAAGTCATGTGACCGTGCTGTAGTTCATTTATAGCCCAACATTAGCCGCCTTTAGCTTAGCGGTGGTGACGTGAAGTCATGTGACCGTGCTTTAGTTCCTTTTATAGCCTAGCGTTAGCTTTTAACTTCTGGCGGTTGCATTTAACCTTAAACAATTACAAAATTGGTGTTCATTTATATGCTGAAATGTATGTTTTGCCATCTCTTCCTAAACGCCTCCTCTCTCCGCCCTGCAGACATACTCCGGGCTCTTCTGCGTGGTGATAAACCCGTACAAGAACCTGCCCATCTACTCGGAGGAGATCGTTGACATGTACAAGGGCAAGAAGAGGCACGAAATGCCGCCTCACATCTACGCCATCACTGACACGGCTTACAGAAGCATGATGCAGGGTAAGGCACCACGAGGACATTAGTGGGACATAATGAAGGGGAATTTAAAGTCCACTACTCGATGAAGACTTTTCCCATGTATTCAAACAGCCCCTTGCTTAGCCCCTTGCTTGCTTACTGGTCCCTTTTAAGACCTCATTGTCAATGAAGCTACTGTTCAGAGTGGTACTGCTTGGAGCTATAAACTATACGACTCCTGTGAGACTACTAAGTTCCTATACATACATCTGCATCACTACCTGCTCTAAAAAATAAATTAGGTACATGGGAGTAGCTTGTATATTGAGTTTCAACCTTTAAATGGAAGACAATAGGCGCGTTCACACCGGGGTACTTTTATCCGTACTTTTCCCATTTAGTTCCGATAGTGCCTGGAATTTTGCGTTCACACCAAAAAGAGTTCTTAGTTCCGAGAACTTTTACCCCGATTTTTAGTGCCTGCTAGAGAGGTGGAACTATCCTGGGGAGAAAAAAGTACCAATTTCGATTTCTGGGCGAATTGCAAACCACGCCCTGTAAAACTCTGAAAAGTTTTGTGAAGCCGCCATTGTATTTGCTGGTATTTGCTGGCATTTGCGATATTAGCATAATATGTGTTGGCGTTCTGGCGATTTACTTGGAAGGCCCCAACTCCGGGGGACTTCGGGTGGCAGTATACGCCGTGAAGTTGTTTGCGGCCTGCCAGTAAACCCAAAGCAGCAGCAGAAGAAGAAGTGACGTCAGCGGCTTAATTCGCGTAATCTTCCCTCAGGGAATTTATTCCGGTGTGAACGCGATCTGTACTTAGTTCCATGGCGGTACCAAGTGCTGGCACTAAGTACGGCAAAGTACTTGGTGTGAAAGCGGCTTTTGGCTCCAGAATATTGAACCTTATTGGTAGCAGAGTTCTCCAACGCTCTCGTTCAAGGAAGGAGTGTTTCTTGTTTAATATTTAATACAAACAGGAGGAAACCAAGAACACCTTGCATCTAAGACTCTTAATAAAGTGTATTTTTAAAACTGATGCCGCACAGTTTCAATTTAAAACTAACTTTGAAGTCATTTTGTTGGAATTGTAATTTGGTATGTTTTGTTTTGGCATCTGCCTCATGGTATCTCTAGCTTTGATCTGTTTCCACATTACCTATATAGGAAGTAATTGTGACTTCAATCCACATTTCCTGCACAGCTTTTTTTATGTTAATGTGTTTCTTAAGCCTTGTATGCTGTCCTATTTATTTTTCTGATATGCCGTCATGCACCTCACATAAAAAAAAAAAACCCTCGCCGTTCCATTGGTGCTCTTTTTCTCCATGTTTGGAGATTTCAGACCACATTTTTGGGAGGCGAGGGTATGGTGAGTTTGAAACCCGGTAGCGCCCCTTTACAGTCACAGGAAGCCGGATATGGATTTCCTGTCTGTGGCCAATAGACTTCCTGTTGTACCGGCTAAAGAACTGTATGGATTGTGGTGATAACATATACTCACTTAGCATAGTTGTTCTGCAGAAGGTGACGTGTTTTAACATTTGTATCCTTTTTCTGCAGATCGTGAAGACCAGTCCATTCTTTGCACGTGAGTTACAAATCACATCATTTTGGGCATTCTGGCTGCGCATCACTCTATTCACCAATGGGTAATGTTTAGATGGATTTTAGGAACTTCCCCTCGATTCTATTGGCTCTAACGGTTAAAAAGAGGTGTCAATCATCAAAATTGACCGAGGGGGCCAGAGATATGGAAAATGACCCCAGAAGTGGGTTTCTTTTTCTAAATCTCTCAAAAAATGTCACTTGTTTTTGCATCAATCTTGATACAGGGTACTTATTATATGTTATAGTTTGGATTCCTAAAGCTTTTAGTCGACCATCCCATCATTGAAGTGTGGTTTTCACTAGAAGTCATGTTTTTTTTTTATCATTTAAATTGTTTGACTATGTTCAATCTGAATTTACTTTAAAATAAAAACATCCTATATCGATTCTGACTTTTCTACATCCAACTCACAGGTGTATCATTGCTTTGAGAAAAAAGATTATTAATTTACCCCTTTTTTAGAAGTGAAGATTTGGTCATTTGTTCTGGGAATGTCTTTTTAGAGCCTGAGATCTGAAAAACAGGCTCGGGGCTAAACCGGTTAAAACTTGTGTTTTTAAAGTTCTTTCTTAACTTTTTTAAGCTTTTTTTAAATGTAATTTATAGAAGCCTATATTAATACTTTATTCACACTATAACCTATTATTTTTCATACCTGTTTTTCCTCAGCTGAATCTACATTGTTTATATTTTCTTTCTATGTATAAACTAAGACAAGAGAAGTACAAAAATAACTGAAATAAAATGGATTGTGTTCAAAATGTATTTTTAAAACATTCATCTTGTGTTTTTCGAGCCCTCCTCTTGTTATTCTGACTCTGTATCTCCCTCTGTTTGTCCCACAGAGGAGAGTCCGGTGCCGGTAAGACGGAGAACACCAAGAAGGTGATCCAGTATCTGGCTCACGTTGCCTCCTCTCACAAGACCAAGAAAGACCAGGTCAGTCCTGCCTCTCATCACATAGAACATCCCTTTAAAAACCTCCTAACCCTTCTGACGTCCTCCAGTCACTCCCCTTTATCATTTACTCACTCCCTTCCTCCATCTCTCACTGATTTTCATTTTCAGGTGAGGAACGACATTTCCCTTCCCCTGTTTTTAGAAATCTTTCATTGTGACTGTGATGTGTGTGATATTAGTGTGTGTGCGCACTATAGTGTGTGTACATGATTTTAATCCGGTAGACAAACTCCTGTGTGGTCGAGCTGCCATCGAAGGAACATTATATAACAGCCAGATAAACAGGAGTGCAGCTTTTTACATATATTTTCATTTTAGAAAGCCATATCTTTACAGGGCATACATTATTATTATTTATGTATAATTTTATTTATTATTTATATTATCAAATTCTCAAACTCTTTTATTATTATTTTTACATGCATATATATCCATCTCACAACAACAATGGCTATTAAATCCTGTGTATTTAAATTATTATTTATTATTATATTTGAGTTTTTTTGCCAATTTTTCAACAAATAAATTAACTTTATTATTATAATTTTTAAATATTATTATTTGTATTTATTTGTTCCCATATTTCATCAAAAACATCACCTTTTTATTATTAGTATAATTTTTGAAATATTATTTCAGTTACAAAATTCAGAGTTCATCAGGCGAAGTACAACTTTTGAAATGCACTCTCCTGGCACTCCTGTGTAACATTTACCAGAGGCCTTACCTCATGTGTGATGTATTTGCAGATGTACCTGCGTCTTCTCATCAGAATTATAACTCAGTCTAGCGGCCTCACATTACATCAGAGTGGAAAAGCTGCCCTGCTGTTATCTGGCTCTATGATAGATGAAGGCAACACAGTGGGGTTTGATGAAAACCACATCTATCATCCCTTTTTTTTGAGGTTGTTGTATTTCTCTCTTCCCATCAACAGAACAGCTCGTTCCTGTCACATGTGAGTTAACTCTCTCCCTCCATTCGCTCCCCCCCCCCCCCCCCCCCCCCCCCACCTGCTTCTATCACCACCTTCCTCTCCCGCCCTCATCCCTCTCCACCCCTTCGCTGGGAGTCACTTTCTATGAAGGGCAGAGGTGACATGTCTCGACAGCCAATAGGAAGCAGGGAGGAAGTTTGTTTGCAGATCAGTGGCAGCCAAACGTGTTCCTGTGAAAAATTCAGCCAGACAATGGGAGGATAAGAGGAAAGGGGGGGGTGGGCTTTGCTGGGAAAAAAACACAGCAATTGTTTTGGTCTCAAAGATGTATTTATTTGTCTGGTTGAATTTTTCATCATTTTGTATCGCTACTGTGCGTCCAACGTTTCATCGTGCTTTTTTCTCTTTTTGCATATTATTAAAACAGCTTGGGCGTTATGTGTGTTCAACATACACCTGTTATCAGCTTCTTATTTATTTAAATCATTCTTAAAAATGTTTAGTGATCAAATCGAATCATAAATAAACAAATTATAAAAATTAATTACGATATCATAACTATCTTTGATGTCAATTTGGATTTATTTTTTTACATCCATCTTTTTTGATAACATCTGGGAAACACAAACAACCACCAGAGGAATCTAAATCTACAAATACAATACTCATTTAATTAGCATTCAGATGTTGATTTTACATTTAATTACCTTATGAATGAAGCTCTAAACTCCTCGGTACACCCTTAAAAAAAGAAAAATACAATCCAGGGCCTTCAGTAGGTCAACTTGTACTCAAACACTGGAAAGCCTAATTAATGACACTCGGGTAGTTCACAGACATTTCTACTTAACATGTGCTTAACCGATGAATCAGAAAGCACTACCTTTTATGATTTCTGGCTGAAGTCGTCATGTTTTTGCTGGATATGTTCGAGTGACCTGCAAAGCTTACATTCTTAGCAAACCTTGACTTAAAACCAAACCCGTATAGCCAGAAAGAAGCGGTTGAAAGTGATATTGCAGCAGGAAGGAGCGTTTGTTTTGTGTGGTGTTCACTTGTCTGGGTGATGGGTTACTGATGAGGGTCTCTGGGTGTCTGCAGGTTTGGGCACTAACATGACGTTTTGTGTGGGGGAAATGCTTGGGTGTGTGTTTGTGTTGCTCGGGTGTGTTTATGGTTCCCTCCTTTTATGTTGAAATGTTTTGTTCACTCCATGTTCTCCTCGGACGTAAGTACATCGTGGGGAATTTCTATTATTTCAGCATGTTGTTTAATAAAATTCTTACAATTAATTAAAGTTTTTATAAATGAATACCAGGTGAGAATAAGAGTCTCACAGTAAATCCGTCTTGAAGATCTGATGATATATCCGTTGCTGAGAATTATCCTGATTTAACAGAAGAGCATTAGGGCCAGGCATAAAGGGAAAATGGAGTAGATGGATTTAGGATTTTGAGATTGTAGTAAAACATTTTAGTTAATTTGAAATGGCCAGAATAAGTCCAAATGTTAAAAGTAAATTACATTTTTCAAAAGTTGAAAAGTCAAGAATAAAATGGAAAATTCAATAAAAAGTTGAAATGAAAAATAATAATAATTTGAAAGGTGGAATAAAAAGTCCAGAAATATTCAATTTTTAAATTTAGAGAATAGTCAAATTGTGAAGATAAGAGTTTTTATTTTCTTGAAGGTTATTGAGAAATATGTTGAGTGTCGAGAATAAAGTTTTTTTTGACCCAACTCAAAATATTAAGAATAAAGTTAAAATGTTGAGACGCAATGTGAACCCATTTTGAAAATAAAGTTCGTCTTTACTCTTGACATTACGACTTTTTTCTCAAAATGCCAAATAATATTCAATAATACCATCTTAAAAACCTTCCTCATTCTGTACTCCCTTATGCTTGGCCCTAATACTCTTCCCTATGATTTACTTGTGGTAAACAAATGGAACGTGTACTTTATATTCTTGCCTTGCTGTTCTGTTCCTTTCCACCAGGGGGAGCTGGAGAAGCAGCTGCTGCAGGCCAACCCCATCCTCGAAGCCTTCGGAAACGCCAAGACCGTCAAAAACGACAACTCTTCCCGATTCGTGAGTACTACATGTTCTGATTCAGACTTTTCAATAACTTTTCCACACACACACCATTCTTAAATCTGTGTGTTCTTCCTGCCTCCTGTAGGGAAAATTCATCAGGATCAACTTTGATGTCAATGGCTACATCGTTGGAGCCAATATTGAAACTTGTATCCTTCATATGGTCATTGCGTCCCTGTCATGTTCAATACATCCAAACATCTTTGAGATTTCGTAGCTTTTTTAGAAACATTTTTATTACATGCTGTGCTGTGACTTTGTTTGGCTTCTTTGTAAAATACTATAACTTTGATGACTTTTTTACTACTTTCACCCAACCATTTCTGTAATACTCTTGAGGCGTGCAGCATTTAAAGTGCTTCTAAGAATGTGCCTGTGTTCATAATGAGTCTAAGCCTAGAATAAAATGATATAGATATTTAGAGGTGTATATATATCTATCCCCAGTGGCGGCGCCAGAGTATTTGTGTTGGGTAATCTATGGTAGGGCTAACCCATACAGTGGTGGGGCTCAAGTCAGTATTTGCAATGTAATTACATACACGCTATATCGCCCCCTTGACAGTGAAACGCCACGCGTGAGGTTTAGATTATTTCCCTGTCTCAATCAAAATGGAACTATATGAAATAAAACGGTACATTTGTCTTGTAGTAAATAAAAAGGGATCCCTGTGAACGTGACGTATGATAGTACACGTGGAAAATCCAATGGGGATACTGAATGGCGGTTCCGATCGATCTCAATCAGTAATGCATGACGCAGACCCAACGTTTCGGTGCTCTGATTGGCTGTAGGTCTATTCAAATTGCATTCGGAGGCATTTTGATCTGACCGCGGCCGTGCTGATATTATAACACCAGAGAATTTCCACACCTTTAGTGTATAAAACTCCCCCACTACTTAGACTATTCCTTGCACCCCTCTTCTAGCATAACCCCGAATGGTCTCAACCATATTGCATCAGCAACGTGCACTTGTTGTTACAGCAGGATCAGTTTGTGTGTTGTGGACACGACACGTATATATTTTCGCAATCCGTGTTCTCAACATGCTTACTTTAACATAATTTGTCATGGTGGGGCTAAGCCATTTCTTGGTATGGCTGTAGCCTACCCCAGCCATACCCTGGCGCTGCCACTGTCCATCCCAAATACTGTCCATCCCAAATACTGTCCATCAAACAAGTTGGGTCTCTTATGATAAGAAGACATCGTAGTACTTGTTGGCTTGTGTTTAAAGCCTTTTTTGGGTGAATCACAGCACGATTTTGAAATGCAGTCATGATGGTATTCGAGAACTTGTCCTTGACCTATTGACCACTAGACCTGTTGGAGAAATCCCGTGCCATTCGCCAGGCCAAAGACGAGAGGACCTTCCATCTCTTCTACTACCTCCTCACGGGGGCCGGGGATAAACTGCGAGGTAAGGAACACACGACGAGAGTATTTGCAGAGTGTTAATCCGGAAAAGTAAGGGTTTTTACTGTCTGTCTTTTGTCATTTAACTCACTGCAACCATCCTTTTTCTCTCAGAGGAACTCCTCCTTGAGAACTACAACAACTACCGCTTCCTCTCCAACGGGAACGTCACTATTCCCGGGCAGCAGGACAAGGACCTGTTCACGGAGACTCTGGATGCCTTCAAGATCATGAGCATCCCCGAGGATGAGCTGATCGGTATGGAAGATTACTCTCAAATCTCACGGGTCCCTGGCTTGAGCTTCAATCTCAGGATCCATGTATTTATGATCCTCAAGAATGGAAGTAGTCCTCGCATACAAACCTCAAAATTCTGACTTTTCTCAAAACCTCAAAATTCTGTCTTTTTTTTTCTCAAAATCCAGATTTTTTTTTTTCAGAATTCTGATTTATCTCAAAATTCAGACTTTTTTTCGTCAAAAATCTGACTTTCTGAATACTTAAAATGTTTAACAATCTCACTCGTCCCCGGCTTGAGCTTGAACCTCAGGATCCATGTATTTGTGGTCCTCTCCAGAATGGAAGTCATCACATACAGAGCATCAACTAGTTCCTGAACAGTGTCCTTCACATGCTGATATCCAAGAGAGGGAGTTACACAGTCACAAGATGGAGGAATAGAAAGCAGTATTCAATGTTTACTTCAGATTAGCTCCACGTCAGAAATGAGCATGCTTGTATATGTCTCTCTCCATAGAGGCTGAATCATCATGTTAATCACATAGCTATCATATGCCTCAAACAGTCCTGATGCTCTTCTAGGTAATCACACATCCTGTCATGTTCACAGCTACAGTTGGGATACCTTTGTTATCATGTGGACTCTGATATTGGAAGACTACATTCAGTATTTTCCCAACACAAATTAACTTTTATTCCCCGAGTGGGACTTTGCCTATGTTTACCTGCTGATGTCAGCAACTTGAAAACTTGTTAATGCTCCCGTTTGTTGTTTTTGCGCAGGCTTGTTGAAGGTGGTCTCCTCTGTGCTGCAGCTCGGGAACATGAGCTTCAAGAAGGAGCGCCACACAGACCAGGCCTCCATGCCAGACAACACCGGTACGTTAAACTTGTTACAACCCGGCTCTTGGGCTGTAACAAAAAGCTGGGAGACGAGGGGTATGGAAATATAACGATCCTTTATTAGTGGACACAAAAGTAAACACGGGGACTGTGCGAGAGGAGTGAGACACGCATCCGGCTGGGCTCTCTTCTTGTAGGCTTTTTGACCCAGGTGCAGCTCATCAGGTAAATGCCGGCCCCACAGCACCGGATCCTTTAAACAGAGAGAGAGAGACCACGGGACGCCTAGTGGTGTGGAGGGGTCGTCACACTTGAAACAGTTGTTTTCTTAAAGACAATACCACCAAGTTGTTATCTTATCGTTTTCCTTCGGTCTGAACTTGGAGAAACAGAGTTTAATTATTATCCTCAGTGTTTCAACAATAAACCCAGAAAACACTTTTAAATCTTTTATTTTAATAAATCAAATGACTATTCCTCTTATACTGGACTGTACATTTTATTGTTTTTTTTTCTATTTTAGCTTGTTTTAAACTTGGATTCAGAATAGTTTCTTTACCCAAAAGGATAAGTTATGAAATTTGCCCCATATTAGAATAAAATGCAGTAAAATATCTCGATAAACATAAGTCAAAATGTGCAATACATATAAAATTACTCGAAGTGAAAGAACAATTATTATTTACACATAAGAAATTAAAGTAAAAATGTGAGATAAAGGTACAAAGATTTTTTTATATAAATATAATTTACAATTTAAAGATGTTTCTATTCCTAAGTAGAAAAGAAAGTGCTGATGGTTGGGTAACTCCCGGTGTTCTGCACTTTGTCTTGATGCTTTCAATATTTTTTGTAAAGCACTTTGAATTGCTTAATTGTTCAAATGCACCCTTTAAATAAACATTGCCCCCCCCCTTTCCTGTGCCCCAGCTGCCCAGAAGGTGAGCCACCTGATGGGCATGAACGTGACCGACTTCACCCGGGCCATCCTGTCCCCGAGGATCAAGGTGGGCCGAGACTACGTGCAGAAAGCTCAGACTCAGGAGCAGGCGGAGTTCGCCGTGGAGGCTTTAGCTAAAGCTACGTACGAGAGGATGTTCCGCTGGCTCGTCATGAGGATCAACAAAGCTCTGGACAAAACCAAGAGGCAGGGGGCGTCCTTCATCGGCATCCTGGACATCGCCGGCTTCGAGATCTTTGAGGTGCAGGAATTCAAAGCAAACTGTAAATGCTTTGATTGTTCAGGTTCATACAGACTAGTGTAGTAGAAGGCGGCATTTATCTGTAATCAGAATACCTTATTTATTTATGCTTCATAGGCTAGAATACTAATATGTATACAAACAGAATGAGTAAAAATGTGCAATTAAAGAAATAGGAAAAATAAATAATTGCAATTAAAAGATTAAATAAAGATATGTATACAAAAAGTCATAGCATGTATAACAATAAATATGTAAACATGTGTATTTTATAAAATATGCAGTCATTTATTAGTTGCAAAAAAGATAATGTCAGTGTTTTAGCTGCTGATGGTTAAAATGTATAGGTAGGTACATGGATGGATGGGTAGATAGATACATGGATAGATACGTAGGTAGAGTCCCTGACACTGTATTACGATAATACTTTAATGGTCAGATCAAGTCTGAAATGCTCCTAGCATCACAGCAGCTCCATGTGTAACATCAACATGGACAAATATCAAGACACAATACATGGAAAACAAACATTTAACATTAACAAATATGTTTTTATTTGTGGATCACCACGTTTCTCTAACGTGCGTCTCCTTTGTCCCCCAGCTGAACTCCTTCGAGCAGCTGTGCATCAACTACACCAACGAGAAGCTGCAGCAGCTGTTCAACCACACCATGTTCATCCTGGAGCAGGAGGAGTACCAGAGGGAGGGCATCGAGTGGAGCTTCATCGACTTCGGCCTGGACCTGCAGCCCTGCATCGACCTCATCGAGAAACCAGTACGTTCTGCAGACCTCACACACCTGTCGTCGTCCCCCCCCCCCCCCCCCCCCTCTTAAAGACCTGTTTATATATCATCAGATATTGTCAAGTCTTCTCTGATTTTGGTGCAGTTTCCCAACTTGAAAGGGACTTGAAACATCTACTTTAAACAGGATTCCACTCCAATGACACAGCACCTGTTACTTTTCAGTCTTTTATTTCAGTAGTTCACTTGAAACAAACTTCCATTTAGTTGCTGAATGGGTCTTTTTAGGTGAAAAACCTTTGAAGACAAGAAAGACAACTTGCAATAGTCATTCAAATAAATAAAGCATGCAAACAATACACTCACACTGCTGCCTCTTTTACAAATAAACTGCGCAGACTAAGCACAGAAATATTCATTTTAAACATGAAATCAATTTTCTAAAGCTCTTCTGCTTTTAGTGTCACACCATTTCTACTTAAAGATCTCCTATCATGCTATTTATAGGCATATATTATGTTGGCGATGCTAACGTAAACACCGACCATATTACGTCCAAAACAGTCGGGCATTGTTTCTGATTGGGCCGTGGGTCCACATTTCAGATATGACATCATATCGGACGCAAATCTAGATCAGCTCCCTTGTTCCCCGTTTTTAGAGATTTGGGTACGGAGGAAAAGAGAGGGTTTTATTTTTCTGACGCTGCGTGAGTTCCCTGACACACCGGGGACACATGTTTATGTATAAAAGACGTCAAAGTGCATTTTGCATGATGGGAGACCTTTTTTAATGCTTTAATATCTACCTCTTCCCCTCCCGTGTGCAGGCCAGCCCCCCCGGTATCCTCGCTCTTCTGGACGAGGAGTGCTGGTTCCCCAAAGCCACCGACAAGAGCTTTGTGGAGAAGGTTCTCCAGGAGCAGGGCACACACCCCAAGTTCTTCAAACCAAAGAAACTGAAGGATGAAGCCGACTTCTGCGTCATCCATTACGCCGGAAAGGTAAATGCTTCATTGAGGTTTTGCCATAAACAACGTAATTCTTTGTAAGATCTTTTTTGGGCCAGTTTAGTCTTTATCTCCCTCTTCAAATCTATTTCTCTAAAAGAGGGGACAGCATTTGTTAAAGGGACTTCAGAGTAGATTTGAACCTGCCTATTGGAAACTATGTAGTCAATGGAAGGTAAAAGACTACAATTCCCTGTAGTGCCAGCCTATTAAGAGACGCAGATATGGACAATCTGAGTGGAAGACATCAAGGAGACACATTCCTCAACCGCTCGGATCTGAATTAATTCATATAATGCTTATCGTTTTTAAGAGTTTTGTCTCTTTTTTTTATGAGTTTTGACTCTTGGAAAGGCATTTATTTTCTTTGTTCAATGTGTTTTTCGTTTCAGTTTAACCAAGTGAGATGCATGACATGAATCCAGCCTGAGTAAAGCAAATCACTTAAGTTGGAAATGTCAGTTTTGAAAGGGGTAGGTAGGTAGATGGATAGGTAGATGGATAGGTAGATGGATAGGTAGATGGATAGATGGATAGGTAGTTAGATGGATAGGTAGTTAGATGGATAGGTAGTTAGATGGATAGGTAGTTAGATGGATAGGTAGTTAGATGGATAGGTAGTTAGATGGATAGGTAGTTAGATGGATAGGTAGTTAGATGGATAGGTAGTTAGATGGATAGGTAGTTAGATGGATAGGTAGGTATATAGGTAGGTAGGTAGATGGATAGGTAGATGGATAGGTAGATGGATAGGTAGATGGATAGGTAGATGGATAGGTAGATGGATAGGTAGATGGATAGGTAGATGGATAGGTAGATGGATAGGTAGATGGATAGGTAGATGGATAGGTAGATGGATGGGTAGATGGATAGGTAGGTAGATAGGTAGATGGATAGATAGGTAGATGGATAGGTAGATGGATAGATGGATAGGTAGATGGATGGGTAGATGGATAGATGGGTAGGTAGATGGATGGGTAGGTAGATGGATGGGTAGGTAGATGGATGGGTAGGTAGGTAGGTAGATGGATAGATAGATGGATAGGTAGATGGACAGATAGATAGATTAGTACTTTATTGATCCCAATTTGGGAAATGTTTGCATTGCAGCAGCATAAAAAACAAAAGGCAATGTATAAGAGAAACTAAGACACAAGAAATAAACAGTCCAAAAATATTTCAGAAATAAAATAGCATTGTGCAATAATGGATTAATATAGCTAATAGAAAGTCAATTTAAGAAGACTCGACACATGCCTTTTAATGAAAATGAGCTTCTAGTTCATTGCAAACGCCCCATAAGAGAGCCTAAAGAATATAACTTGACCTAACCGTTGCCTCATGTCTCTTCAGGTGGACTACAAGGCTGACGAGTGGCTGATGAAGAACATGGACCCTCTGAATGACAACGTGGCTTCTCTGCTCAACCAGTCCACCGACAAGTTTGTCTCTGAGCTCTGGAAGGACGGTGAGTTAAAGCAGAGTTTACCCAGAAATCCCTCTGTCTCTGGGGGTCAGTTTTTCAATGTGGGAATATATTTCATTATGGGCTTTTAGTTTCGTGTTTCATCATGCTTTCTTTCTCTTGTATTGTCTGGTATTTGGACCTTTGTTTTCACCTTCTCTGACCCCATTCATCCATCTCTTCCTCTGTACGGCCCCTTTCTGTCTGTCTTTCACGGTGTCTCAGAGGTAAAGAATTGTCAGAGAGCCTATTTTTATGAGCGTTTTCCTATTCTTCACTCAGACTCAGGTGACGAGGTTTCTATTTCATTCATTTATTCTTTCTCCTTTTTCTCCTGCCGTCTGTTTAAATCATGCTTATTTCCCCCTCTGAAGATCCAAACGATTGTGTTTGTCGTTTAAATGTCTTTAAAATAACTGTTTGTGCAGTCAAATGTCAAAGGTTGCGGTCGAATAGTCCATTTAGCTTAGGAACCTTCCTAACCGAGTGAAATGACCCGGAAGTACCTCAGTGGCAGCCATGATAAGAGCCGTTCGAATTCTCTAGATCAGTGGTTCTCAACTGGTCAGGCCTCGGGACCCACTTTTTCCTTAGTCAATAGGTCGCGAACCGAAATTTTGAACCACTCAAATCTATTCAACAAAAAATCCTGCAGTGATATATACGCTTTGCAGCATACAATATTAATTAAAGTGAAGTGCATATATCCCTTATATCCCTTCACAGAACAAAATAATGCTTTTAAATAAGGTTTAATGAGATGAACTGTATAACATAAAAAGGCACACGTGCTGAAAACCCAACCCCAGAAGGGGGGTCTGGGGGGATTGTCCCCCAGGAGATTTTTTGAAATACTAACATACAAACTACCCATTCCGGTACACTCTGAGAAGAAAAATAAATAGATGTATTACGACGTATTAATAATATTTTATGCCATTGTTTGTTTTTCACTTTGTTCTGACAGCTGAACTTGCTGCTCCACACAGAGAAGAGCAAAGAGGAGAGAGTCTGTGTGAAATATTTTAAATTGTGGGTAAGGGTAGATAGCCCCCATTGTTCTGTGACCTGTCAATCATCAAACCGGGGGTCATATTTCATTATGTGTTCATTTGTATCTGAAGTTGTACCCATGGATGTATAAAGAATAGTTCTACCGCAAAGTTATTCTCCGTGGGGACTTCCGGCAACAAGCTTGATTCTGATTGGCCAGAAGACTCGAAAAAACATCAGCAAAGATGTTTTATTGAGAAGATGATCACTACGTGACAGAAGTTTTCAAAACCGTTTATGGTCTCCGGTACTTCCAGTCCAACGCCTACTGCTTGCACAGCGTTAGAAAATCGGGCCTTCAAAATAAAAGTTAGACATTTTCTCCCAAAAAAAAAAATCTGCGACCCACTCCAACGGGTCCGCGACGTATTGGGATCATTCTTATTAAACATCCATGTTGTCCGCTGTATAGAAAACTGTAGTTTCCATAGTTTCCCCACAGCAGCAGACGCACATTCATGTCGTCCGCTGGCGCATCATAAACACGTCGCATAGTGAAAGTGCAGTCGATTCTCAAAGCACCGCAGTCTCTTCTCCCAAGTCCTTTTGAATTCTCCTATCCACTAGCCCTTAACCCCGTGACGTTTCACACAGAGGTCAAGGGATAGACGATGGACGATAGGGATAGACCTTAGGAGCTGATTTTTGGACTATTCGACCGCAACCCAAGTCATCCTAACCACTTGTTGCTCCATCGGTGAACTCTTCTTCTCTCCCTCTGTGTAATAGCCTTGTTTGGGGACTCCTGGTGGTGGTCATGGGTACCGCAGCAATGGGTATATACTGCATGGGTTTGGTGTGGTTTGGTTTTTTATCACCACAAACACATTTCCACTGCAATCACCAAAGTTTTACACCTTCCTGACATGGCATGGGACGATAAAAAAATATAGTTGAGTAGTCTTCATCTCAATAAGAATCACAATATCATCCAGAAATTAAAAATAATCAGAATGCTAGGTTTAGTTGAAGTTCACCATTTAAGAATATCCTAAAAGAGAATATGTAATACAAATATCTATGAAGTTAAAGCAATACTAAGCACATTTTATTACAATATATAAGTTACTTGTGTTAATAAGTATAAGCTGAATTGCACCAAGATAATAATCAAAATGGGCTTATAACTTAAAAAGGCCTTAAAACATAATAGAACTTTAAATGTGTTAAAAATTTAAAATATATCTTCATTGGATTAAAGATGGGACACATCTGTTTTTGGTAATATATGAAAAGCTCCTCTATTATCAAACAACTTTATTAATCCCGCAATGAGTTTGTCATGTACACAGGCAGGAACATAGAGCAAGAAAACACACCGATACATCCGGGAGCACAGATGTGGATCATTCCAATTTACACGATAAATAGTTCATAGCATCACAATAATAAATAAATAAATAAATAATCAAGTTAAAAGCCTTTCAAGAATTTAAAAGTTTGAGTGCAGAAGGGATGAATGATTTTGCAAAGCGATTAGTCTTCAGAGCAGGTAGAGCATATCTACGCCCTGATGGCCCTAATGATAATAAAAGATATATTGATAGGGAGCTATGCAGGTCTTTTTACTGCCTCGCCTGTGAGGATATACAAAATTATCACATTAATGGAAATCCACCAAGATCAACTAATGTCATCACAAATCCTGATTTAAAAACACATCGTCCAATCTCACAACGACTTTAATTGAACCATCGCACATAGCTTTCACATCTACAAACCAGCCACTCCAGTCAGTGCACAGTTTTTATTTGTTTTTGTTATGGTGTGAAACCGCTCCACCCTTCACCGGCATTGTGACTCCTCTCCTGGTTCCCTCTGCATTCACTCAGTGTGTGTGTGTGTGGTATTTCACTGGTTTATCAACCTCTACTCTCTCCTGGTGTTTGTGTACCGAGAGGAAATGGTCATATTCATTCTTCCTCGTGACATGCATTTTGTCTTGCCCGGTTAAACCATCGAATGATTGAATTTAAAATCCTCTGGTTTCTTACACTTCTCTGTACTTCTGTCTTCTTTCAGTGGACCGCATCGTGGGTCTGGATAAAGTCTCTATGGCCGATATGCCCGGTGCCTTCAAGACCCGTAAAGGCATGTTCCGCACAGTCGGCCAGCTGTACAAAGAGCAGCTGTCCAAACTCATGGCCACTCTGAGGAACACCAACCCCAACTTTGTCCGCTGCATCATCCCCAACCACGAGAAGAAGGTACCCGAGAAATACTGACATTTATTTTCCAGAGGAACATTAACCATTCATGGAACTAGGAAACTAAACCTGTGTTTTGAGCAATGGAACTAGCAATTAAATGTAGTTCTTGCGCTATAGTTCCATCCCTAAAATAAATAAAAACAAGGAATTCAAAGCGCCCAGAAAGTTAAAAAAAGCTCTTGAACGTCCCCCACACTTTCTGTTTTCTAAAGTCCTTGAACACACCCAAAAAGTGTAATGGTGGAGTTTGCTGATTTTGTGTTAATTGTTCAACACAAACCCCCATGGCATCTACATCTTGAATTAGTGCTGCACGATATATCATGTCGTGACGATAATCGCGATATGCGCGATATTCACATCGCAAGACACATTTTGTTAGGACGTGCGATATTAAAAGTAGGGTAGGTAAGAATGGAGAAACCAGCTCGAGTGCGCTAGAAGTTGAAAGTACGCAGCCGTCCTTCAGACTTCCTCACAGAGCCCCTCCAACACACGAATGCGCACATGACCAATGAGGGCACCAGATGGAAGGCTGACAGGCAGGTAGGCCATCCAGTTACTTTAGCCGGGCCGGCTCAAATGATTGGTCGTGCTTTTTACAGCTCCACGGCTTCCACAGATGAGATTTTTTTAATGTATTTATTGTCAAAGCATTTAATCTATTCATTGCTATCGGGATGTTAAGAGCATTCCATGGAATATAACAAGTGTTTCTGAAATAAATTACATACCCCACCTTTTAAGTAGGCAAATTAACTCAAACACGTCATGTTACAATTCTTTTGCTGCTTGCTACAAAAGGAAAACTCGCATGGCTCTCATGTCAGGGGTACTTGAGTGACTGACGGCAAACCACCAATCACAATCAAATCTCCAAAGCAAACGGACCCCGTGATTAAAGGTAAAAACACTGAATAAAGTAGTTTCATGTGTTTCTCCAGGGCAGTTCGGCGCTGCTAACCGAGCTAGCTCAGCTTGTTGCTCTGACAACTTAAGATCCAGACGTCCGGACCGTGACTAAAATCCTTCATCATTAAATATAGTTAAAAAAATACCAATTGTATAGCATTAAAGTTCAAGAAAGGATGGTTTGTGGACAAAAAAAACTGTCTTTTCTTCAATTACTGTATTTTTTTCATATCGCAGGGGGGAAGTCGCAATGTCAGTTTTTTCCAATATCGTGCAGCCCTATCTTGAATAATACTTTATTTTCAACAAATGCTGCCATTGTGTTTAATCCATCTGAGTTTAGATGTGGTCGAAAGACAACCAGAAATGTCCATAAGGGACCTTTGTAATTCCTAGTTAAGTTCTTGTGTCTAGTTCCTCTGGTTCCATTCTTGTTGTCGATGTCTCTAAGGCACTGTGTTGAATCGAGATCCTAATCAGCTGTTGTCCCCTCTCTCAGGCCGGTAAACTGGAACCTTTTCTGGTTCTGGACCAGCTGAGGTGCAATGGAGTTCTGGAGGGGATCCGTATCTGCAGACAGGGCTTCCCCAACCGCATCGTCTTCCAGGAGTTCAGACAGAGGTAACGGGAGGAGAAGAAATACACACTGATCCTAGTATGGCTTTAGTTATGCATAAATAATAATAACTTAGATTTATATAGCGCCTTTCAGGGGACCCAAGGTCACTTAAAACAAAAAACAGAATACTGACAGAAATTATACAAAACACATTTTTTAATTGATGAGCATCATAGGAGGAAATGAAATGTTAAGCATCAGTTTGCACATTCTACTTGAAAGCAGATGAGTGTCTCTTGGCGTAAAGAAGTGGAATTCTTTGCCGAATGATTTAAAGGGCTGTAAGAACATTGTTACGTTTAAGAAAATGTATAAAGAAAGCGTAATTAGACAGTATGAAGTTGACTTTTGATTGTGTTCTGGTTGTATGTTTCAGTATTTGTAAGCAACTGTGACTGAAAGAATATTGCTTTTATTTGACTTTCTTATAATGCTTATTTAATCTTTTTCTTAAAGGGGACCTATCATGCAAAATGCACTTCTTGATGTCTTTTATACATAACTATGTGTCCCCGGTGTGTCGGGGAACTCACGCAGCGTCAGAGAATAAAACCCTCTCTCTTTTCCTCCGTACCCAAATCTCTAAAAACGGGGCTACAACGGAGCTGATCCAGATTTGCGTCCGATATGACGTAATATCTGAATTGTGGACCCACGGCCCAATCAGAAAGTTGCTATCAGAAACAATGCCCGACTGTTTTGGACGTAATATGGTTGTGTTTACATTAGCATCGCTAACACTCAGAGCTAACCTGTACTGGAGAGCATGTGTGTGAAGAAGCAGGAAGTAAAAAGGAACTCACCTTGTGGTATAACCGGCAAGAGAGAAAGCCTTTGAGCTCCATACTGTTTCAGAAAGAGTCCTTGATAATCCATGATATGGCGTTTCATCACGGCAGCATTTAGTTTAGACAGTAGCTGCTGGGTCCCGCATGAGCTCAGACCCCTCCTTTATTTATTTTTAAAGCTTTATACCCCAAATCAGCACTTTTGAAACGGGAAGTGAAACAGAGGGATATGAGGCATGGCTAGAATGGGTGATCTGTTTGGTATTTTGAGCAAAACACTTCTTAGACATGTTTTTTATATATTTTTATAAATCTGAAACCTATGCCATTGCCTAAAAATAGCATGATAGGTGACCTTTAAGACGGGGAAGATAAAATAAGATGTTCTTCTCCCTGCTCCTTGTGCTATAAAGAAATTAAAAAACAGTATAAGTGTACATGTTTTGTTCAACAATAACTGCCATGTGTGGAATAAACAAATAAATAAATGTATAGCTACGTGTAAGAAAAAAACTCAACCCACAAATCCAACTTTTTTTTTTTCTCAGGTATGAAATCCTCACTCCCAACTCCATCCCCAAGGGCTTCATGGATGGAAAGCAGGCCTGTGTGCTCATGGTAAGGAAGCTTCAAATTAACTTAGCTTAGCATTTTTGTCGCAGCCTAAAATCTGTTTATGTATTTATTTCAAGAGGGACCATGCATACAAATCCATTAATCAAAGAGAAGAGATGAATTATGCCAGATTTGAGCTAATGGCTAATTTCCATCTGCAGTCCCGAGGTTGCTGACTAGAGAGTGACACTTAACTTAACTTTAAGACCACACGTTCCATTTGACTAAATGCCGCCTCCTCTGTCCCTGCAGATCAAGAGCCTGGAGCTGGACCCCAACCTGTACCGGATCGGTCAGAGCAAAGTGTTCTTCAGAGCCGGAGTCCTGGCTCACCTGGAGGAGGAGCGAGACATGAAGATCACCGACATCATCATCAGCTTCCAGGCCTGGTGCCGAGGATACGTGGCCCGCAAGTAAGAAGAACCGCCTCTCAGAAACAGGATGATGTTTAGAGTCATTTATCCAGGAGGGACATGCATGAGTAACACATGCGTCACTTCCGGGCAAAAAGTACGGCCCCGCCCACTTTTAGGGGAAAACAAAGCCGTCAGTTGAACGGCGGTCGATACAAATTCTGAAGTTTTTGCCAATCCGATTAGAAATTTAAGAAAACCGTGGATTTGTGGATCTTCAAAGAGCCCGGTTACGATGGCCAGACAGGCAAACAATTGCATTAAATCATTTGAAATCAACGATCGGGCTCGATATATGGTTAAATATAGCAGTAGGCGATCAATGTCCACAGATGAGACTAACATCTACGGCCCCGCCCACTTTTGGGGGAAACAACGCTGTCATTTGAACGGCGATCGAGCCTGAAGCCACAGAGCTCTTCTGTTACTGTCCTTTCTTCTTAGAGGAAGTCCAGAAAGACTGAACTCTGGATTTGTTTTAATGTTTGAGGTGCAATAAACGACACAGCAGCTTGTTGGCATGATAAAACTATTATTTTCCGCCTCGCTCATGAGAGTAACAGCTGGAGAAATTACAGCCTCGCCTACTGATTTTAATTTAACCATATATCGAGCCCGATTGTCGATTTCAAATGATTGAATGTAATTGTTTGCCTGACTGGCCATCGTAACCGGGCTATTTGAAGATCCAAAAATCCACGGTTTTCTTAAATTTCTGATCGGATTGGCAAAAACTTCAGAATTTGTATCGACCGCCGTTCAAATGACAGCGTTGTTTTCCCCCAAAAGTGGGCGGGGCTGTAATTTTTGCCCGGAAGTGACGTAGGTGTTACACTCATGTATTGGGTTTCATGGTAGTGGATCTGTTTGAGAATGAAGGGGAAAACGTTGCATAAAAACACCTAGAAAGTTCATGAGAATGTGCAAAAAATACAATTGATTTTTTTTTAATAAAATGTAATTTTAAAAAAAAGGTAAATAAACATAAGAAGTTAAAATAAGTAGTGGAAAAACAAAATGGATGTATACATAAGAAGGTAATGTAAAATGGGTGATAAAAGATACATGAAAATAGAATAAATATATTTATAAAAATGTAAGAAGGTAAAGTGTGGTAAAAAAAAATGGAAGTTAAAGTAACAATGTCCAATATTTGATCGTCTGAAGACTTGTGCTGCAGCTCTGCTTTTTTTGTGGTCCAGTGCATGTTATTATGAAGTGTCTAAATGTGTAATATTGCTTCGCAGGGCTTTCGCCAAGAGACAGCAGCAGCTGACGGCCATGAAGGTGATCCAGAGGAACTGCGCCGCGTATCTGAAGCTCAGGAACTGGCAGTGGTGGAGACTCTTCACCAAGGTGATCCTCAGCCTCCTACAACACCTCAGACAGTTTGCCTGATCTTAGCCAACATCATATTGTATACTGTATCTTCACAACCTATCCCTTTTCCTCTTATGTTTTCCTTTCTAACTCCTCTTGATTTCCTCCATCCTGCCCCCAGGTGAAGCCTCTGCTGCAGGTGAGCCGGCAGGAGGAGGAGATGTCGGCGAAGGACGACGAGCTGCTGAAGGCGCAGGAGAAGCACCTGTACGCTGAGGTGCAGATCCGCGAGATGGAGGAGAAACAGCACCAGGTACACTACGTTTGACTTATTTAAAACAAATGCAGCGTCATTTAATATTTGAGTTTGATTCCTTGTAGTTTATTGCACTCATTGTAAGTCAACGATATTGAAGTGACCAGTGGTGTAGTGGGCGTTGGACACGGAGGATCGCCGTCCCCCCACTTTTTTGAAGCATGATTTATTTTATTTTTTTAATAGTCTAATAAATAGAAAATCATTGCCACAGGGTTCTTACAGTCATTACAAACCTGGAAAAGTCATGGAAAACAATATTTTTCCCAAAGTCATGGAAATGTAACTAAAGTTGCATCAAATATAATTTATATTTGATCTAATCGCCAAAATAGTAATACTATAATGATAATACTTACTATATAGTAATGAAATGTAAAATGACATTTTGTTGGTGAGAGATTTTATTTGCTTTAGGGTGTAGAAGCTAGTAAGCCTACTATTTGATTTGTTTTAGATAGGTACAACATGTTTCATATGCAGACCTTATTTTCCTGTTCCATGTTAAAATAAACCATTTTCAGTGGTACCGCTGAGAGAGTAATGTTTTTGGTCATGGAAAATTAGGTAAAGGTCATGGAGAAGTCATGGAAAATAATTTGTGAAAAAGTGTATGAACCCTGTTGCCAGTGTTATCAGTTGCAAGTGTGTATTTGTTTTTAATGACAAACATAATGGGCCTACATTTCACAGTAATTATAATAAAAACGTAGCTCAAGCATTTATGCAACTTGATTTGAAGCGTGGGTGAGGGGCAGCACCGTGTGTGTAGGGTGACCAGGTGTCCGGCTTTGTGCACGCACTGCCACACAGCATTTTTATCATTTGTCCCACAAATTGAGACTATGTCCCGCATTTGAGTAACAGTCGCGCAGAAAAGCCGGATCGGTTCGCTGACGGCCGGCACCGCCCTTTATTATTATATTTTTTAAAAGGCATCATGTAAGTTGTGCTGACAGGGGACACAGAGGTCCATAGTGTGTGTCCCCCCCCCCCCTTTTTGACGATCTTGAAGTCACTTGTGAAATGTAATGTATTTGTGTGCTTGCAGCTGGGTGCGGAGAAGATGGCTCTGCAGGAGCAGCTCCAGGCGGAGACGGAGCTCTGCGCCGAGGCTGAGGAGATGAGAGCGCGTCTGGCTGCGAGGAAGCAGGAGCTGGAGGAGATCCTTCATGACCTGGAGGCCCGCGTGGAGGAAGAGGAGGAGCGCGCCGCCCAGCTGTCTGGGGAGAGGAAGAAGATGCAGCAAAACATCGGGGTAAGTTCTTTCTACATACAAGACGAAATATCGCGAACGTCTTTTTCCGTCGTTTAATTCTGTACATATTCCATACATTTTTATGGCACAGAATAAACAGTTATTCTCAAATGTTTCACAAGACAACTTACAAATGTTCTTATTCCAACACCATTTTCAAGACGTTTTAGTGAACACAGCTTCAAGTCCTTTTTGATTATCTCTATGAACCCTTATGTTGTGTTCGGGTGACCCGTTTCAAGTTAAAATTATATAATAACTACACTAGTTTTTTTTCTATCGGAACAAGGCTTCATGATATCCTCCACAATAGCTTTATAGACACTACCAAACAGATTTTGACCATTTTAGCCAAGTCTGAAGGTCTGAGACTTGGGAGACCCAGCAGCATGTTGTGGGTCACTCGGGGTCACATTTGGCCCAATCAAGATTCAAGACTTTAGACAATAAATATGTGGTGTAATGTGTTTTGGGGCCATAGAATACAATTTCAACAGGATTGTACGGTTATGAATGCATAATAAGTTAGTTATGATGTAGCCTAGTTAAAACAATATTTGATGATAGTCATTATTTTGGAGTGTTTTGGACTGAAATAAATCATGGGTCAAAATGTACCCGCGATGAACGGTAACAGCTTTGGAACACAAGGGTTAAATATAGTTTAGCACAGACTTTTTTTTGACCATGTCAGAAGAGAAGAGTCAAATGTATCCTTATGGACTTTGACCATAACTTTAGCAACTCAACTTACAATAACAGGCACACCAATGCTTACTGTTTTCTTGCTAACCTTCCTTCCCCTCATGTTTCTCCTCACAGGACTTGGAGCAGCAGCTGGACGAGGAGGAAGGAGCCAGGCAGAAGCTTCAGCTGGAGAAGGTCACTCTGGAGTCCAAGATGAAGAAGGTGGAGGAGGACGTCATGTTGCTGGACGACCAGAACACCAAGTTGAACAAGGTCAGAAAGAGTCTTCACATGTTGCCACTAAACATCTAAAGTCATAGAACACATGCAGAGCAAACAGCACACACAGTGAAATGTGTTCTCTGCTTTTAACCCATCCTAGTACCAGGAGTCTGGTACTAGGAGTGAGGTACTAGGAGTGAGGGGGTTGTCCGGTGCCTTGCTCAAGGGCACCACGGCAGGGCAGGAGGTGAACTGGGACCTCCAAGTAGAAGTCCACACCTTATTACCTACTGACTGAGTGGATAGGAATCTAGTAACCACTGCTGCGCTTGATTTGACCACTCTCTGCTAAGTGTGGCATCCTTTCTGAGGATATTAATACTGTTTATTTTGCGAACACAGGAGAAGAAGTCGCTGGAGGAGAGGATCTCCGAATACACCACCAACCTGACGGAGGAGGAGGAGAAATCCAAGAGTCTCCAGAAACTCAAGACCAAACACGAGGCCATGATCACAGACCTGGAGGGTGAGAGGAGAAACAAACACTTGCATGACAGACATTCTACATTTTATGTGTTTGTTTGTTTTTCAATAACAAATATATATATTAATAATTTAGTTTTTGGGAGAAGGGGTGGGATTAAATAAGTGTAAACTTCATCCCACCCCTTCTCGGATGTGTAATTAAGTAGAAGGGGGGCGTGAAGCTTGGGAAGAAGTTGTAAACAAACATTTTTAACACAACCGGCAGTTAAAAGAAAGTGGACAAGCTTTTCAAACAAAGTATGATGAGGCATACATGAGAACACGAGAGAGAGAACGAGAGAGACTCACTGACCACTTTAGATGTTTGCCTCATCATACTTTGTTTGAAAAGCTCGTCCACTTTCTAACTGCCGGTTGTGTTAAAAAAAATTGTTTTGTTCTTCT